GCCAGTCGTGCCAGGGGAGCTGTTTGGGTCAGCTGCCCTGGAGGCGCTGGAGCGCGCTGCCCAAGCTAGGCAGACCAGGCAGCAGCTCTCGGGTCTTCGCAGACCCGTGGCCACTCCCAGCAGGCCCAGGGGCCGCTCTAGCAGCCGCACTCAGCCACCGGCTTACAGGGGTGGTCTGCAGAGGTCCCAGCGGCCCACTCAACCGGCCGATGGCTTTCGTGCCCCAGGACGCCTGGCTTCCAGGCGGCCTCATGCTTCAGAGCCTTACCGGCGCCCCCCAGGGGGCCCCAGGGGCCGGGGGGCTAGGCCCTGAAGTCCCGAGGCCGGTCGTCGGCTGTTTTTCCCAGCAGCAGCTCAGCTACTGGGCTGCCTGTACTTCCGACCCTTGGGTGATTTCCACCCTAACTCAGAGCTACGAATTGCAGTTCCGACGCCGGCCCCTAGCCTTCGGCCGGGTCAGTATGACAGTTGTCAACGACCCGGCGAAGGCCTTAGCTCTGGCCCAAGAGTTGTCCGTCCTCTTGGCCAAGGGCGCAATCGAGCCAGTGGACCCCCTGCTTCAGGGCGGGGGGTTCTACTCGGCGTACTTTCTTGTGAGCAAGAAAGTTGGCGGATTCCGTCCAGTTCTGGACCTCAGAGGAATCAACAGATTCTTAAGGGTACTGCCCTTCCATATGCTAACCACAGCAGACACCCTTCGTGTTGTCACACAGGGGGAGTGGTTCACAACCGTGGACTTGAAGGACGCCTACTTCCACGTGCCAATTGCATCCCATCACCGGAAGTCCTTGAGGTTCGCCTTTCAGGGCCGACATTATCAGTTCCGGGTGCTTCCCTTTGGTCTCTCCCTCTCTCCAAGGGTGTTCACCAGGGTTGTAGCGGCAGCGCTCGCTCCCCTGCAGGCACAGGGCATGAAGGTCCTGCCATATCTGGACGACTGGCTGGTTTGCGCGCCGTCCCGGGCCCAAGTGGCCCAGGATACGGCGCGCCTCTCATCCCATGTAGCCCGGTTGGGCCTAACAGTGAACGCCGGGAAGAGTTGCCTGGACCCTTCCCAACAGGTCACTTACCTGGGGATGGTCCTAGACTCGGTCGCCATGAGGGCCTACTTGACACCTCGTGGTGTGGACGACATTTCCCACCATCTTCGCATCTTCAGACTGGGCAAGAGGGTGCCTTACATCCAGTTCCTCCGGCTCTTAGGCAGACTGACAGCTGCCTCAGCCGTTGTGCCCTTGGGCATGCTATCACTGCGCCCCATGCAGATGTGGCTGAACAACTTTCGCTTGGACGCCAAGCGGCACAGGCACAAGAGAGTCAGGGTGTCTCAGCGGTGCCTCCACTCTCTGCTGGAGGGACAGGGCCTATCTTCTGATGGGTGTGCCTATGGGCGCCATCCCATCCCGCCGGGAAACGGTCACTGTGGATGCATGTCTCTCGGGGTGGGGTGCGGTGTGGCAGGGCAGGACTGTGCAGGGGCAGTGGTCTGCCCAGGAAGGTGCACACCATATCAATGTGCTGGAGCTGCGGGCTGTGTTGCTCGCACTCATGCACTTTTTACCCCAACTGGCGGGCAGGCATGTGCTCATTCGTTCGGACAACATGTCCGCCGTTGCCCAAATCAACCACCAGGGGGGCACCAGGTCCACACAGCTGCTCCGTGTTTCACAGAGCCTCTTGTCTTGGGCGCTCCCCCGCCTCGCCAGTCTGCAGGCAGTCTTTCTGCCAGGAGACCTGAATCAGGTCGCAGATTTCCTCTCACGGCGCAAGCCTCCACCGGGGGAGTGGAGGCTTAACCCAGAGGTGGTGGAGACAATTTGGAGCCTTTTCGGCAGGGCCGAGGTGGACCTCTTTGCCTCAGAAGAGTCGAGGCACTGCCCCCTCTGGTTCTCCTGGACGGAGGTGACCAGCCCGTTGGGTCAGGATGCCCTGGCGCACGACTGGCCGGACACTCTCCTGTATGCCTTCCCGCCGCTGCCTCTGATACTGCAGACGCTACAGAGGGTCCTTACTCAGGGGCACAGGCTCCTTCTGGTCGCCCCCCGCTGGCCGGGGAGAGTCTGGTTCCCACTGCTGCGCAGTCTCTGCTGCAGCCCACCTTGGCGTCTCCCCGACAGGAAGGACCTTCTGTCACAGCTCAAGGGTCAGATCTGGCGTCCCGACTCTCACCGCCTTCAGCTCTGGGTTTGGCCTCTGCAGGGCCCAACCCACTGTTGAGCGGCGTCACGGCATCAGTCAGGAAAACTATCCTGAATGCCAGAGCTCCATCCACTCGGGCACAGTATGAGTGCAAATGGAAGTTCTTCTCCCACTGGTGTGTGAGTAAGGCTGAGAATCCGGGGCATTGCTCCGTGGCCACCATTTTGGAGTTCCTGCAGTCCCTTCTGGAGAGTGGACGTTCTCACTCCACTTTGAAGGTGTATATGGCTGCGATCTCTGCCCGACATGTCGGAGTCGATGGCGCCACAGTGGGGCGCCACAGGTTGGTGTCCCTCTTTCTAAGAGGGGCTCTACGGCAGCGTCCCCCTAACACCCCAAGGGCCCCGGCTTGGGACCTGCCCCTAGTGCTGAATGCCCTATCATCTCCGCCCTTCGAGCCCCTGGCCCAGGTCGGGCTTAAGTGGCTGTCCCTGAAGGCAGCATTTCTGCTTGCCGTAACCTCAGGGAAGCGAGTCGGAGAGCTTCATGCCCTCTCCGTAAGCAGTACATGCCTGAGGTGGAACTCCGATGACTCGGGCGTTACCCTCTGGCCGAATGTGGCGTTCCTGCCCAAGGTGCTTCCACTAGCCCACTCCAATCGGCCTATCCAGCTGGCACGCTTTAACATTCCACAGGAGAGCGGCACACCTGAGTTGCTGTGCCCTGTGCGTGCCCTGAGGGCGTATATTGATGCTACAGCCGGTATACGGCAGTCAGAGCAGCTCTTCGTTTGCCATGGCGGCACTAAGAAGGGTCGTGCTCTCTCTAAGCAACGGCTGTCCCACTGGGTGGTTGATACCATCACACATGCCTATGGGGCCAGTGGCCGCCCCCTGCCATCAGGGGTGAGATGCCACTCTACAAGAAGCATCTCAACATCGTGGGCTGCCCTAAGAGGGGTGCCCCTGGAGACCATCTTTGCCGCGGCATCATGGGCGTCTTCTGGCACATTCTCCAGGTTCTACCGAGTCAATGTCGCCACTCCTCACCCTCTGGGTGTGGTCCTGTTGCCAAGCTCCGCTGCTTCCAGCTAGGTGAGTAAGTGCTTGGATTCTTCATGACATGGTTGGTATAGGTCATCCAGTGCTAAAGCACCGCCTCTGGCGGTCAGTAGGGACGAAATAGAACGATAGTTACGGCTGTAACTACGGTTCTATGAGTCCCGGATGACCGCCAGAGTATCCTGTCACTCAGAATTCTTGTGTGCTCGCGAGAAGATTCTGGGAACAGATCCACTGACGACACCGGCTGATATAGCCGGTGTCACGTTGGTCACAGGTGACTTTGTTGGTATTGGTACTCGAGCTGCGCATGCGCGCGATGGACACATCCAGTGCTAAAGCACCGCCTCTGGCGGTCATCCGGGACTCATAGAACCGTAGTTACAGCCGTAACTATTGATCTATGGATACATCTCTCAACACCCATATGAAACAGAACTGTAAGCATATTTTTCTTTTTGGATATTTTACAAATCTCTCCCATTTTAAACTCTATTCTTGTTATTGTTAACAACTTTTTTGTTACTGTCATATAGTATTTTATACCTGTTTTTCATTTAGTCTCATTAATAACTATAATGATCATATCAAGGTGTGCCTTAACCTCACTGAGCTGAGGTTATTTGAGCCTCTCAGGAGATAGCTCTCTTCCACCTGGTTGTAGAAAAGCTCTTTAAATTCGTTAGCATAGCTAGCTAACCAGATGCTAATAGCAACAGATCGCCACTGTGCTTACAACTAAAGACACAGCCACGCCAACACTGCGGCATGTGTACGGCTCGTTATGGGTATTGCAATATGTTAAGGGCTGGAGCGGCGTTCCGGTGCTCAGCACTCCTTTCAGACGAGACATATACCACGTGAAGACACGTTACGCTCGTGTTGTGTTCAAGGAACCTGTCCTTGGCCAGGAAAAACAGGTACTCGCTTGTTTAATTATTTTTGCGGTCTAGATTTCTTCTTCTTTTTTGAAGTGAGAAGTTTTCCGTCAGTCGGACTGACGGACGGACTCCCTCCCCCCCACCCCCAAAATGAAAACTCTTCGGTTCTCCACGAATTACGCAAGTCACCCAATTCAGCGTTAAAAAAGCGGGAGGCACCGAAAAATCCCCTATTAATGTATTGATTATAGCTCCGGGTCCGGATCCGGACCGCGGTCCGCCTGTTGCCGACCCCTGCCCTAGTGTGTTGTATCCGTATCCGAATATTCGTTCGTTGGAGTACTATTTGGATTTCAATTTCGTTATTCGTTTTTGATTGAATTTATTGAAATCTCCAATATCAACGTAAGAGCTTGTGCCTCTTCGGGGAAGCTAACACTTAACCATAAACGTTATCGTTTACTTTCTCCGTCTTTATATGTAGATCTCCGTTAATCTCCCCATAGCAACAAGAACTTCCTGTCAACAGCGCTAACTCTCCTTCAAAATAAAAGCATGTCCATAAAAAATAGGAAGCCAAGCCAAATTACACTTAAGACATATACAACTGCAACGAACAAACACAATGCAATATCCTTTTCAATTTCAAAGAACACAAATTGGGTTACATTAACAAATAACTATAAAACAACAATACTGTAGAATAACAAAATGAATGCCGTGAAGAAACAGAAATACACGTGTTAAAGCGATTCACTGCTGATTACTTCCGAATATCCGGAGCCTGAAAAATGGTGTGTGTGTGTCTAAACGCACTGAGTAATGTGTAACTATACACACTACTTCATTTTTTACGTTTCACTAGAATTTCTCCTTGTATTGATGATCCCAATATTAAAACGAAGTGTCTCTTTTTCAGGTTTTCCAGGTGAGGAAGGTTCAAGGTGCTCAGACTGGGAACATATTTGCTATGAAGGTCCTGAAAAAGGTACTTTGTCCCAGCCCACATCTCTCCCCTTAAACACAAAACGTAGGACAAACAGTACACAAAGAGGTCACCCTCTTTACATCTCTCCTTCTTTTTCATGGCATTGTGCTCACTTGTAAAACAAATTAGGCGAAGATAGTGTGTAATGCAAAAGACACAGCCCATACACGAGCAGAGCGGGAGATCCTGGAGACCGTGAGACACCCGTTCATCGTGGATCTGCTCTACGCCTTCCAGACTGGAGGAAAACTCTACCTCATACTCGAGTGTCTGAGTGGTAAGTGGATGTGGGGGGTAGAAAGCTATGATAGAGTCTAATGTTAGCTCTTATATGACACCTAAAGATATTCCTTACACCTGCAATAGAATGGAAAGAAAATTATCTAATGCCACTAACCCATCTTTACTGTTTATCATCAGGAGGGGAGCTGTTCATGCAGCTAGAGAAGGAGGGAATCTTCATGGAGGACACTGCTTGGTAAGGAGACATATTCTCGGGGGAATCGCTTGCACACAATCTTGAAAACCAAGTTGCAAATATTCTACTTTCTTTTATTGCTTAAGCATGATACTGATGCGTTGTTTTAAACTAATGTATGTCTGTGTGTAGTTTCTATCTAGGAGAGATCACATTGGCTCTGGGTCACCTTCACTCTAACGGGATCATTTACCGAGACCTCAAACCTGAAAACATCATGCTTAATCACCAAGGTAACACACACAACTTGGAAATACTTATGATCATGTAAAACATTAACTGTCTATAAAATGCAGGTGGAGGTGCAGATATTTTGGGGTTTCTTAATTCATGTGTCATCCGTCATTTTTTTGGGTACAAACTGAATGACTGAATTTTAAAAGTTCAATAAATAAGATATGACCTAACTGAATTTAAAGCTGAATTATAATGGATAAAGCTTATGTATTAGAAAATACAGACTTAAGTGTTTGCAAGTGGTATTGGTATTTTTTAAGTGGAAAAATAGATTTTAAACCAGATTCTGACCTTCAGGGTCTGAAGTGTGACCTCAAATGTGTATGTCCCTCAAAGAATACCTCTTATATTTGACAAAAATGTACCTTAACACCCTAATTAATGTGGTTTGTTTGTTTTGTTTCTTGTTCCCCTTTGCGTCATTGTTGAGAGATACTTTTACGATAGAGTCATGTCCCCATTATTGATAACAAGTAAAAAAGAAAAAAAGGTACCTATTTGTCATGGATAGGTTTACTATAATATGTGTTATTTTCTTTTTTAGGACACATCAAGCTAACTGACTTTGGCCTCTGTAAGGAATCCATTCATGATGGAACCGTCACACACACCTTCTGTGGCACCATAGAGTACATGTGGGTAACACATAAACATGCATCTACAGGTCACACACACACACTGCCACTCTCTTACTCCCTAGATTTTTAAAATCTTTATATTCCACTGGATGCTCCTACAATCGCTTCGCCATCTGTTAAATGTGTAATGCGCATCATCATTTATAGGATACAAGAGTTTGTTACATCCATACAAACTCAAATGCAACTTTAATTTGTATAATTGTTAATCACTATGTTTTTGAGTCATTCAAACTATTTACCTTGATTCTGCCCATATCACACATATCCTCACATATTTGTAACTCTGATTACTTATTTACTTTCTGTTTGTTCTGTGTATATTTTCAGGGCTCCAGAGATCCTGACCAGGTCGGGTCACAACAGAGCTGTAGACTGGTGGAGTCTCGGAGCCCTGATGTACGATATGATGACCGGATCGGTAAGCTACATCTGTGAGAGAAAATACTCTTTTTACGAAAAATCTGTGTCTGGAGACGGTAATGCGCTGTAATAGTTTAAACCAACTAGCTTTAGAATTGCCTAAGGCAGAGGTGTCAAACTCAAGTTCATTTCCTGTGGCCCCACAAGAGCTTGCAAAGAATATTATATGTTTATTATATGGTTACATGATGATTTATAGAAGCACGTTGCCCATGAACTACATGTCCCACAATGCATCTCAAATTAGACTTTTTTTCTCAGAATTTGACTTTATTTCTTGTAAATATGCCTTTTTCTGAGAATTAGACTCTTTTTTTAAATGTAATTTCTTTTTTTTGATTTTGACTTTTTTTCCAGAATTTGGCTTTTCTTTTTAAATCATTTTGTGACATTCTCACTGAAGAGACTTGCAATTATTTGCCCCAGACTTCTGCTTTCAGACGTAGTTAATTATGAAGTTATTACTCTATCTGATAATAATCCAATGCAGAGGCAATAATGTCATATAATACATTATTTTATATATATATATATATATATATATATTTATATATGTATTTTTATATGGTCTTAAAGTTACAACCGGCCCTTTGAGTGCAGCCATAATGCTGATGTGGCCCGCGATTAAATTGAGTTTGACACCCCTGGCCTAAGGGTAACTATATTATTTGGAGAAAGAGTAACTGATAGAAAAGAGATATAACTTATTTATTAGTGATCCTTTTTATTGTTGCTGTGATTGCTAATTATAGACTAGAGAAAGCATTCGTTTTGATCTTCTTTAGTGAATACTGTCCCTGTGATTCTCCAACAGCCTCCATTTACAGCTGAAAACAGGAAGAAGACCATGGATAAGATCCTAAAGTGTAAAATCAATCTGCCTCCATACCTGACCATCGATGCCAGGGACCTCATCAAGAAGGTCAGTAAAACACAAAAAGATACAGCATGACAATGAAAATGAAGGATCTGTCCAAGTGTCAGTTGAGTCAACGCGGATGTTGAAATCGCCAACTACAGAAGGAGGGATGGGGCCGGAAACAGGGGGGGCGGAAGATGTAGATTTCCACCACCGCTCTCATGTTGGCGTGGTTTTTCCAGCTATGTTTCTCTGGTCTGGTTGAGTGAAAAATATTACTGTATTTTTTTTGCCAAGATTAAGTGATACAATGAAAGTCCAGATTATTGTTAGTTACATATTCATTGAACATTTGCCCATTGCTATTTAGAAAAAGGGTGTTAAAGAGAGCAATTTTGAGATGTGGTTGAGTTTGAATGGGCTTGGGTGCTTTGGCAAGGTTGCACATTTAGATCAGTTAAATTAAACACAAATTATGTCACCTATCTGTTCCTCTGTCGTAATTGTTATTTTCCTGGTATGAATTCTGAAAAATAAACGATTGATTATTTAAAAACGTAGGTATTATTGTGCACAATCATCAATCTTTAAAGTGACTTTGCAACTCTTTTTCTTCTCAGTTGTTGAAGAAGAGTGCAGCCCAAAGACTTGGCTCCAGTAAAGAAGACTGTGCCGATATCCAGGTACCTCATTGCAGGAATGTATTCACGCATACTCAATATTGATCACATGCATATTGCCAAAATACACCAAATCTATGCGTAAAGGCACCTAAAATATTCTGGAGAGTTGCTGATTTAAAACTCAAAGTATCATTGAGTAAAGGCAAGGCATGAATCACATACACAATATGCTTGTCATAGATGCACCTCCCTGATATCAATAGCCGCTTTCACACCAAGTACTTAGCCGGTACTTGTTTAGTCCCTGGAACTGTCCTAGTAGATCGCGTTCTCACCGGAATAAGTCCCTGAGGGCGGATTAGGCAAATTAAGCCTGACGTCACTTCTTCTTCTTCTGCTTTGGGTTCACAAAACTTTTCGGAGTTTTACGGGGCATGGTTTGCAATTCGCCCAGCCAATCAGAAATGGTTAGTGTTGCACACCCACACCCATGAACCATTTTTCCTCCTCAGGAAAGTACTACCTCGCTAGCAGGGACTATCTGGGGATGAAAAGGTTCGCGCGAACTAGGGACTAGTTCCAGATCCTTTTTGGTGTGAAAAGATTGTCCCACTCTTGACCTAACAATCAACATCGGCACCTCAGTTGTTTCCCCGACTCAGACTGCAAGGAATCTGGGTGTGACCCTAGATAACAACCTGTCCTTCACTGCAAACATCGCTGCTACAACCCGTTGCTGCAGATACACGCTTTACAACATCAGGAAGATACGTCCCCAGCTGACTCAGAAAGCGACGCAGGTTCTGGTCCAGGCTCTCATCATCTCACGCCTAGACTACTGTAACTCCCTCCTGGCTGGTCTACCTGCATGTGCCATCCGACCTCTGCAGCTCACCCAGAATGCAGCGGCTCGTTTGGTCTTCAACCTTCCTAAATTCTCCCACACCACTCCGCTCCTCCGCTCCCTGCACGGGCTTCCGATAACTGCTAGAATCCACTTCAAGACAATGGTACTTGCTTACCATGCTGCGAATGGATCTGGCCCTTCGTACATCCAGGACATGGTTAAACCGTACACCCCAGCACGTGCACTCCGCTCTGCATCAACCAAACGGCTTGCTGCACCCTCGCTGCGAAGGGGACCCAAGTTCCCATCGGCAAAAACACGTGGGTTTGCTGTCCTGGCTCCTAAATGGTAGAATGAGCTCCCCATTGACATCAGGACAGCAGATAGCTTACACACCTTCCGGCGCAGACTGAAAACTCATCTCTTTCGACTCCACTTCGAGCGATAGAACTATTAACAAAGCACTTATATACTGATAAAGGACTGGCTTATCTAAAGCCAGTTGAGTAGCACTTGAAATGTTTTTGCTCTATGAAACCTGATGTACTTATATGATTCTGTTTTCTTCAAGTTTGTATTTTGTTGGTCTAACGCACTTATTATAAGTCGCTTTGGATAAAAGCGTCAGCTAAATGCAATGTAATGTAATGTAATGAAACCAAATCTCCCCCCCTATCGGCCTAGTTCGGGGGGAAAAGTACTCCGGTGTGAAAGCACCTAATGATGATTGAAATGCTGCCCAACCAGAGCTTATACACAAATGAGACATTGACTCACAATTCACGGTTCAGGTATTCATCTTCATCTCAGATATATAGGTTGCCCAAGAAAAGATTGATAGGTTTTCCCTTTTGTTCCGCTGCAGAAGCATCCGTTCTTCAGGCATATCAACTGGGATGACCTGCTGAATAAGACCGTAGAGCCGCCTTACAAGCCACAGCTGGTAAGTGATCCATTATGTTTTTAAATAGCTTGTTCAATTAATATTATGCTTGGTATTCAGTGCTACTAGATTAAATGTAGTCATTGTACAATAATCTTATTAAATACATTTATTGTCTATCTAGCTTTGTGGCGACATCTGTTTTCCTGTGTCCCTGTAGCAGTCAGACGAGGACGTGAGCCAGTTTGACACGATATTCACCCGACAGACCCCAGTGGACAGTCCTGACGACACAACACTTAGTCACAGTGCAGAGCTCGCCTTTGCTGTGAGATTTATTTTCTTATGGATTCATTAAGAGGGGTGCAGTGATGATTTTTCTTTTTTAGGCCAACCCAGAAGTTAGCTTCTCAAGGGCTCCCTTGACAAAAAGCAATGGGATTGATATGATATTACTTGTTTTGTTTAACAGGATAATCTCCACATAATAATCCCACTTTTTGATTTTTAAAGTGCAAATGCAATGGGCAGATGTAAAAAGTTAACGTTAGGCTATAAACGTCAATGTTGCATGGCCGCCGAGCTAAAGGTGGTCTCGTGTTGGTGTCATGACATTCAGTAGTCTCATTTAGTCACTTGTTAACAAACTCAGTTTTTACGAGGCATAGAACCTTCGGATATTTTTATGTCATTTTTTATATTTTATGTCGTAGAATAAAACTTGAAACTTTCTCAGGCTTGTGTTGACCACAGACCTTATTTTAGGCTTCCTAAGACAAACAGGTAAACAAAAAAAAACTTTACTTTGAGTAGTGGTAAAATGCTCACTCTTTCTCTTGCCCTCTCAATCTTACATTAGTCACTGCATACTGCAGTGCACGACAGTCCTCCTTTTTTAGTATTGCATTACAAAAAACACCTGTTTTAATGAGAAATCCAATGACATTGTAGCTTTATCCATCTAATATCAATGATCCTTTCCCATCAGGGTTTCACCTATGTGGCTCCATCTGTCCTAGAGAGTCTAAAAGAAGGCTTCTCATTTGAACCCCGAACGCACCCTGTACGCAGACACAACAGCAGCCCACGCACACCCATCAGGTAACACACACACACACACACACACACACACACACACACACACACACACACACACATATATATATATATATATATATATATATATATATATATATATATATATATATCAAAAGTATATTTTTGTTGTCATAAAGATGATTAATAACTTTATTTCAATCAGAAGAGACTTCATTTTGTTTCAAGAACATTTATTGACACATGTCATATGATAAATGTTAAGTCTTTGGCGATTAGACCCCGATCCTGAAATCGTATATCTAAAGGGGGAAATGCAACCGTGAGCATATAGGGAACCCCCAAAAAGGAGGAAAATGAATGAAATGTAAGGAGATCGGGCCACTTGATGAAGGATCTTAACTTACCAGGTGGCATTAATTTAATCTCAAACCTTTATTTAACCAGGTGGTCCCATTGAGATCATCGATCTCTTTTCCAAGGGAGACCTGCAGCAAGTAGGTTACGACATGAAAACATGAACGACAGAAAACAAGGACATCAAGCATCATATTTACAGGGCTACATTTACATACCTATCGACATTGACGAGTACCAACAGTATGAAATAGCATTGCACCTATCCAAGCTTAAAACATGCAGTGGACCAAATTGTTCAGTTTCAATCTTTGAGACTGTTACAAGCAAGAGGAGCTGCGCACGTAAAGCTTTCGAGCCTAAGTCAGTCCTTGCACTGGCACATCTAACGAAATCACATCATGTGATATCAGGCAATAGCTTACCTGCAACTCTCTGTGTGATCAGAGAGCAGATATAAGATGGGAGTTACCCGACGTGGCTTTATAGATGAACATGTGCCAATGACTGAGCCTCCGTACGTAGTGAAGGCAAACCTGCCCTGGCAACGGGGTACGGTGATGAGTAAGTGCTTTACAATTAGTAACAAATCTCGGTGCACTGTGATGGCGGGATCTAACTTGTTCAGGTCATTACCTGAACAAGTTAGATGCCGCCATCACAGTGGGGCAGGTGCATTCATATAAATCAGATCACCATAGACCAGCACAGCGTGGATTCTGCTGAGACATGATTGATCCTTCGCTCTCTCCTCCGGAGTATAACTATCTTAATACTTGTGATTAGACCCCATGTGACTCGATGATTAAAAGAGGGGAGGAGATGCTAGGAAAGGTGAACCCGTCGAAATAGTAAGGTGAGCCAGTTGTTTTACCAGAGTGGAACAAGCCTTGTAAATGAACGTAGGACCTTACCTACGTGATGGCAAATACATGTGATGAAAGAATTAATTGAGAGTTAGACAGAGACTTATGCAGTGAGAGGCAGAAAGTATAGAAATAATAAAAATAAGGAGCTTGAACTGCAGCCGGTATGAAGGCTGCTGGACATGGAGATGCAAATCTGGATCATTTTACTGACTCAAGGTTTTCTGAGTTAGTCATTGAAGAGATCCGGATCATACGAGACCTTTGAGTCATATGAGTCTGCATCGCCAAGCGTAGGATCCTACCGGTGAGACAGGGCTCATAGTATCCAACTTAAAACGTACATGTAGAGCAACTAGTGAGGGCGGCAGTCCACTGTTTGTGTATTTTGTAATTTTGGATTGCATTTCACGAGCATATTAAACCAGCGTTACATTAACCTCCGCTACGCAGACATGATCTAACGATGTTTATGTCTTAATGCTTGTTAATTGCAGTATTTGCTTCTTAGACTTGACTGAGAAGTCGTCGAATGATCTGTGTACAGAATGCGTTATCACGAACAGCTGACGCTCACTGGGTCTGAAAACCATGACGAGACCACCCGACAAGTTTGCTGTTCCGCCCTGTGTGGAGTAATCCACTCATTCGGTCCGCTCACCGAATCTGTGTCTGTGAGTTCCACTGACTCACTCGTCGCTCAAGTCATTAGTTGGTATCGTTGATTCAGAGTCTGCTATGTTAGCACAGTGATGGAAGTAACCTGATCCAGTCAGGATTGCGAATCTGAGTCTGCTGTTGACTCGTGTATAATAACAATAATAATAATACATTACATTTATAAAGCGCTTTTCCTGGTGCTCAAAGCGCTTACAAGCAAGTAAAACAAAATAACAACAAAAGTAGAAAGTGCTAAGCTAGGAGGAATAAGGGCAAGGGGTTAGTTGATTAGGAGTTGAAGGCAAGAGTGAAAAGGTGAGTTTTGAGGGATTGTTTGAATGATGTGAGAGTGTTGGCGGATCTGACGTGGCTGGGGAGGGAGTTCCAGAGTGTGGGGGAGGCTGCTGCGAAGGCCCTGTCACCCCAGGTCCGGAGCTTTGTCCTGATGGGCTGCAGTAGGTTAGCTTCAGCAGACCTGAGGCGACGGGTGGGGTTGTGTCGTTGGATGAGGTCACAGAGGTAGGCGGGGGGCAAGGTTGTTGAGGGCTTTGAAAGTGAAAAGTAATATTTTAAAGTCAATGCAGTGTTTGATGGGGAGCCAGTGGAGGTCATGGAGGATAGGGGTGATGTGGTCGGAGCGTTGGGTGGAGGTGAGCAAGCGGGCAGCTGAGTTTTGGACATATTGAAGTTTTTTTAGTGTGAATGCAGGTGATCCAAAAAGTATGCTGTTGCAGTAATCCAGTCGGGATGTTATAAAGGCATGGATCAGAGTTTCAGCAGCGGTCTAATGCGGGCGATGTTCTTTAAATGGAAGAATGCGTTTTTTGTGACCTGGTTGACGTGAGGGAGGAAAGTGAGGGTGGAGTCGAGGATGATGGCAAGGTTACCGATGTGAGTGGAGGGGTTGACAATGGAGCCATCGATGGTAAGAGACAAATCTTGGGTTGAGCGGGTAAGTGAGTTTGGGCCAATGATTATAAGTTCCGATTTGTCACAGTTAAGTTTTAGAAAATTGTTTTGCATCCAAATTGTAATGTCAGTGAGGCAGGTGCTGAGCTGAGAGTGTGTGGTTGGAGAAATTGATTTTGTTGAGAGGTAGAGCTGCTTGTCATCAGCATAACAGTGGAACTGGAGTTGGTGTTGACGGAGGATTTGTCCAATTGGGAGGATGTAGATGATGAACAGAAGGGGACCAAGTACAGAACCCTGAGGGAAGCCATGATTGACGGGGGCTGTGGGGGATTTGGAGTTGTTAATGGAGATGAATTGATGTCTGTCAGAGAGATAGGATTTAAACCAGGAGAGGGCAGTACCGGTAATGCCAATGGAAGACTGGAATGATGAGTCTGAATCTCTGAATCTGCTACGGTTACAGTCTGCGGAAGTTCACTGATCTGCATCCCCTGAATCGAACAACACTTCTGCAGCTATCCTACTGCTGAAGCTAGGCAGATGACTGGGGTACACTGAAAAATTATTTACATGTTATAGGAAGAGGAGCAAGTGACACAATAATAGTTTAATTTGTGCATCCCGGTGTGGGACTCAAGGACTCGGGTTAGAGAGGGGAGACTCGTCACTCGCAGGTCATACTAGGATCCGGGTTAATAATCCGGATGAATCAGACTCACCCGACTCTACTGGACATTAGCTGAGGAAGAAGTTCCCTGACTTCTATAATGATCATGTTTGCATGAATGAACTACTGTTCGCTTGTATTGTCTGACGACGCTGACAGGGTAGACATTGAAAGAGAGTGTAAGAGATGTACTTCCTGAAGTGCTTGGGCAGATTTAATTAATCAGAACTTAGTTCGCTAGTGTAAAACATATGTATTGCCGTGTGAACGAGGGGAAATATATATGTTGAAGATTAGACCCCATCATGCTGTGATGATTTAGGGGAGGAGAAGCCTATTAGGAAAGAGAAAACCCAAAAAATGAATGATGAATGATCGATGCAATGAATGATTACGATAATATCCGAGAGGTGTTTACAATAGTGGAGCTGCACTGCGGCAGCATGACAACCTGAAATCACAGCTGACTGCAGGAGAGAGGAGAACCATTTTAAAGTTTGGTTGCAGCACAGTGATTGGCTGCTGGAGAATGAGGTGAATGTAATAAAGACAACGCCCGAGATGAGCTGATTATAAGCAGCTGCGTACTGAATGTATACCAGTCTTCCTGAAAGAACTTGCGCTGAGCTTCATTTACCTTTCTTTTTGAACAACTTATGTTTCTTATGAGTTCTCTGTCTTTTTCTTTTCCGTTTCTTTCAGTCCTATGAAATGTTCCTCAGCGGGACCTTTCAAGACCAGCATGGACAGGGAGCCGGATGTTTTCCCCCCCACCTCACCTCCAGCAGCTTCAGGTCATGCCTCACTGGAAAACGGAGGGGCCAGTCAGCCGATCCGGACTCCTGCAAGAAACAAGAAGCAGAAGGGACACCGGAGATGAGGAGAAATCTTTCAAACAGCCAGCCTGCGATTCAAATCCTTGGTCAGATTAAACATTTTCATAGTAAATGGGCAGTTTTTTTTTGTGCTGGTTTACTGATTTGTATTTGGTGTGATTCAAGTTAAAGGTTCCTTAAAAAGACAAAATCAAAAGTGGAAAGTTTAAATTATTTTTACTGCTTTTCTCTCGCATTCATTTATGAAACAGATTAGGTATTATGATGGTTTCTGTTCTGTTTGTTATCTAGAGGGAGATTACTTCACTTCACTGGATCAACGTGGAATTGTAATGCTTTTACTTTGATTTGTCTCAGGTGGTTACAGTATTGTAATAAGCTATAAAGAGGCCCTATTGTGCTTTTTTGAGTTTCATTTTCCTGTAGTGTTTTATAGGTTTTTGTGCATGATGGTCTGCAAAGGAAAAAATCCCAAAGTTCCCTCCAGAGGGAGTTTCTCTCCCCCCCTGCCTGAAACGCCTCCATTGGACTCCTTTTTTTTAGCGTCTGTAACATAATGACATCACTATGAATTATGACGAGATAGGCTGAGGGGCTGGACATCTTTAACTGGTTGACCAATCACAACAGAGCCGGCCAGCTAACCAATCAGAGCAGACTGGGCTCTTGTTTCAGACAGAGGGTGAAAAGAGGTGCTGCAGCACAGGCAGTATGAGAAAAGGTTTAAGCCTAAAGACCTTTTTGAACATTAAAGCATGTAAACATGTCATACTAGAGCCACAAAATACAAATATGAACCTCAAAATGAGCATAATATGTCCTCTTTAATTTTCAGCATCCATATGTCTGCACTTATAGTTCACACGTGAAACAATCACATAATATCAATATTTTCAAAAAAGAGGAACAAATGTTTCTTCTTCACCAACTTCACTCGATCTATCATGAGCAGTGAGCGTTAAGTAAAAGATTGGTAAAAGTGCTTCATGTACATGCTAGAACAACCACTGTAAAGGCAAGCTTTTACATAAAGCTCTTTCGGTTTAATTTGTACATTAGCCTTTGATTAGTTCACTAGAGTCGAAATGAACTGCGAAAAGGACCTTCAGCCACCGGGTTATCAAGTAAAATTAACCTCACAGGCTTAAAGTAGTTTGATTTGTTCATATGTTTGGGGTGGGATTATACCATAGAAATCTACTGAATTAAAGGCTGCATCGCACAAGGAAAAAGTATTTACCAATGATCTTAAGTGAGCTTTTCTTTGTGAAAATAAGCTGCAAGTCATCAGTGTTTCTCATTGCACTGAGCTTTCTTAACAGAATCTTCATGACTACTGCCAAAGCTTTGAACACATCCTGTTATATTGTACAAAAATACTATATTCAATTATACTTGACAAGAGGGTTATACTTTATTTAGTAATTTGGGTGAATAAATAGGTTGTGACCTATACTCTTTTATCAAAATCTGCCCCATTTATAACAATTAAAACATTACCATGTGTTCACATTAACACAAACCTGAATATAATTAGTACAATGTACATTCAAGGCAGCCTGTTAGAAGCTGTCATCATAGGAAACTAATATAATGTATAAAAAGTATTTTGCGTTTCTAAACAAACCTATTTTTACATGTAAAAGTATACGAAAAAACAAAACAAAAACTACAAAGTCAACAGGTTATGAAATCAATGATGCCAAAATCCTCAGTCTCTGGATTGTGATTTTAGTTTTTCTGTTTTTAGTATAATGGCTCATAGTTTGACGTCGTAGATCAAAGCAACCCTGACCCATGTCACTGTCTTGTTACAGGAAAATAAAAACATTTAATCTTACGTGATTCTTTAACCCAATTATTATGGCAACTGAGACAAAATTATCTTCAGAAGTGCAATATATCATGTTATATTACGTTAAGGAAATAAAGTGAATGTTAAATTCTTTGTTAAACAATCTATGAACTATACAGCTTTAAAATCATTACCATCTATCCAGTAATGTACGATTTGACATAATGGAGAAGTATTGTTTGTATTAAAGAGGTGGAAAGGTTCTTGTGTTTGAACAACTTACACATTGATGTGAAGGGAGTAACATGCTTATATTTGTTGGCTAAATCATGCATTAGCTTTAACATGTTCCCTCTGTATTTTGGTGTTTACTGGAGAATAAAGATTTTTTTTCCCGGTGTAAAGTATCTCTTGAATAGCATAAAGACCCAAAGTGTTCAATATTACATCAATGAATAATACATCTTGAAAAAAGAATCATGTGAATACTGTAAATTAAAGTGTTTGTTCCCCAGAAGATAAAACCCAAATGATTTTCATGATCTTCTGATTTCTACTGAATGTACTTGATGGTGGCAAACGTTAGCATGCTAATCTAAGATGATAATCATGATATACATTAAGGGTTAAGGCCTACCTTCTTAACATCAGCATATAAGTATTACGTATCGTCCACACGGTTCCGTTGCATGCTTCCCATTCATTTTGAATGGGGTGGTCACACTTTGCCGAACTGCATTGTGGTTCGGTTGCTTCACTTTCCCTTAAATTTGAGAAAGGTTCTACTTTTCAAGCGTCGACGGAAGCGCCAGCCAATCAAATCATATGCCAGTACAAGCGCTAGCCAATCAAACTTTGTGCTTGTGTGTCCGGGGCGGGAGATTAATGTGATTGGTTGTTGGTCGCACGCCAGACACGCTCACCGGCAAAAGCTTCAATGCGACAGAACCGTGTGGACGATACGTTACCATTGATATCATGCTAACATGCTGACAAAAAATTACCAACAAATAAATAATATTTCCTAACAATGAGCTACATTTTTTGCATTTTTCAAGTGAGTAAGATATTTAGTTTCAAAATGTCATAGAAGTTTGTTTTTTCTGTATAATTTATATGATTAACTCATTTTATACTATGTAGGTATGTAATATTGAACACATTGGGTCTCGCTAAAATCTAAATTCCTGTTTTCCTGCTTCTGTGTGCGGAAACAGGTTTGACAAATGATATCCTCATATCGTCCTTCATTACCACTGTATGCAGTCTGTAGGCCTACGGTACATGACTAATGCTAATGTGTCAGAAACTCTCACAGTGCACTGTTTCTATGGTGAAATTTTAACTACGGCTACATTATTTGCTATGCAAGATAAAAGCATATGGATATCTGTTTTTATTATTTTTGTCTGTACTCCAAGTTGCCAATCTTCTTGACATTTGCAGTTACTAAAACAGACACAGTGAATTGTATTTCAATAATTTTCTGTTTATATGCATTAGCGCAACCGGTGATTGCAACAATGGGTCCGATGCTTCAATGCCTGGTACACGGACCAAGGGAGGACTTGGGTTACCACCTGGTTAAATGGTCCCACCTCCGCACCAACGCGGGGCTGGTGATGGCAACATTGGGTCCGATGCATCAATTCATGGTGCCCCGACCATGAGAGGGTTTGGGGTGCCCCGGAACCAGGCAGTACCCCAGCAGGAAACACGTTTTATGGTCAAAGGAGGAAAGAGTGATAGAACCGGGGTAAAGCAAAGAAAGTGTCTTGTGAGGCGGCCAGAGAGTCTGTCATCTCTCGGTCCTATCCTCCAGGCAATGCGGTACCAGAACTGGGTCAAATTGACCAAAATGTAAAAAAAAACAAGTTTCAATTCATCCATGGATAAGGGCTGAAAATGAAAAAAAGTATCCGAAAATAGTGCATCATGAGCCCGCAAGAGTCCCCTGACAACTCTCCTTAAATTCCTCCAGAGTCAGAAAAAGTCTGAGTTAACTTTTTGGAGAACCATAGAAAAGGGCTGAAAATGGAAAAAAGTATCCGAAAATAGTGTCTCATAAGGTGGATAGAGTTCCCTGACAACTCCCCTTACATTCCTCCAGAGTCAGAAAAAGTCTGAGTTAACTTTTTGGAGAACCATAGAAAAGGGGTGAAAGTGAGGAAATGTATCCAAAAATAGTGTCTCATAAGGCGGATAGAGTTCCCTGACAACTCCCCTTACATTCCTCCAGAGTCAGAAAAAGTCTGAGTTAACTTTTGGGAGAACCATAGAAAAGGGGTGAAAATGGAAAAAAGTATCTGAAAATAGTGTCTCATAGGGAGTCCCCTGACAACTCTCCTTACATTCCTCCAGCGTCAGAAAAAGTCCGAGTTAACTTTTGGGAGAACCATAGAAAAGGGGTGAAAATGGATAAAATGTATCCGAAAATAGTGTCTCATGAGGCGGGTAGAGTCCCCTGACAACTCCCCTTGCATTCCTCCAGAGACCAGTTCAAAAACTTAAAGTTTGGTAAGAACCATGCTGGGGGGTCTCCATGCAACAATTGTATCCGAGCCAGAGCACACATGGAGTGGATGCATTCCTCCATGAACTGACACAGCCGTTTTTTTGTGCTCTCAAAAAATGGGTGCAGATCGTAGCTTGAAAATGATGAACGAATTGTTTTGACGGAGGAGGGGAGGCCCGAAGCGCCGAAGGGTTGAGCTTTTTTGAGCCCCTCCTCCGTTGGCACTTAGTCGTTTTTTCGAGAATTTTTTAAAACTTCATTTTTGATTATTTTAAGATATAATTGACCGTTTTCTTTAGTTTTTTCTTCTTTCCACGGGTGGGGGCGCATGGCAGGCCGCCTATGAGCTCCCAAATTCGACCTGGAACCTCCGGGAATTGTGGGCTAAGCTCCATAAACTGACAGTCACCCAGAAATGTCACTTTTATAGGCCAAAAATATATAATACAAATACATTTAAATAGTAAAAGCTACAATTGTGCTCCGAATTACCCGGAATTTGATTTATATAGCCCCATGATAGTGAATAAAAATAATTTTCATGGAAAAAAGTGTTAAAACGCCTGATTAATATGTTCGTAATGCTGGCAGCAGGTTCACTGCTGTTAGCAGGGTCTCACACTCACAGGCACCTATGCAGAAATACAGGGTGATGCACACCCAGAATACACCCAGAGGACAGGCTGCTTCACAGCACTTTGTAACCCAGGAAAGCAGCTTGAATCGTGGGTAGATGATTGTTAAAAGCGCATTAAATAGACCCACCAGAAAAACGCGATTCTGCCATCGCAGAATTTACCGCATAATCAGCAAAATGGCGCAGATTTTTAAAAGGCCGCATATTTATCAAAAGGCCGCATAATCCCCGCATTTTTCCACACAAAGTTGAGAAAAAAAAAAGTTAACTCGTCTTGACGTGAAGTGATGATGATAACGCGACGTCATCAGCTCGCGCATCACAGAAGGTAAACAACACCGTAGAGTGAACGCGTGGAGCTCACACGAGAGAGAAAACACCAAGATGAAAAAATGTAATCCATCTCATTTACCGACGAACATTTCTGCTAAAGACCGGGCAAAGCAGTACCCTGATGTCTTGCACGAAAGTGGGGGGAAACTATTCTGCACCCCGTGCAACTGTGTGTTGGAGCATAAGAGAACATCGACGGTGACGACCCACTTTGATTCATTCAAACATTCGAAAATGCTTTCTGCTGCTGCGGACAAGAAAGCCAAACAACTCACGTTCACCGAGGCATCAACCTCCAAAACCCTTTCGAGGGCTACAAGAAACGAGGTGAGAAGCCTACAAGATTGAAGCTGGTCAGATAACGAACAAGTAAATGAAAACAGAACGAGGCGGAGATGTGTGTGTGTGTGTGTGTGTGTGTGTGTGTGTGTGTGAGTGTGTGTGAGAGTGTGATTAAAATAGCCCAATTACTTTTACAATAAATAAACATTGAATGTGTTTAATTGAATAGTAAAGGGGTTTAACGTTAGTGGCAGGTTGTGTGTGAGAGAGAATAAATAAATAAGACATCCCAATATTTATTTTTTCCGCATATTTCGCAACTTTCCGCATATTTCGCAACTTCCCGCAATGTCACCGCTTAAAATCACATAAAACCCTGCATGTTTGATCGCATAATCAAGGATTTTAGCCCGCATAATCAAGGATTTTTGCCCGCGTTTTTCTGGAGGGTCTAATTAAACTGTTTTAATTCAAATTCTACGGTGGCCCTGAAGTGCAAGACACCACAGCATTTCAGAAAACGCAACAGCATTTCAGAAAACGCTACAGCATTTCACAAAACACAACAGCATTTCACAAAACACAACAGCATTTCACAAAACACAACAGCATTTCACAAAACACCACAGCATTTCAGAAAACACAACAGCATTTCAGAAAACACAACAGCATTTCAGAAAACGCTACAGCATTTCAGAAAACACAACAGCATTTCACAAAACACAACAGCATTTCACAAAACACAACAGCATTTCACAAAACACCACAGCATTTCACATTGGACGGAAAGGGTATTCCTTAGGGAGAACACTTCTTGTTTGTGATTGGACAGAGCCAGCCATAGAAGCACTGCTGTGATTGGTTGTTTTTGCTGCCAGTCAAGAAATGACGCTGCGTGATTGGCCCAACACATCAGCCGTTAGCTGTTAGCACACACTCAGAGCTCACAGCACCTCATATCTGTTCAGAAACTGGACAAAAGTTAAACATATACAAAACACAGACTGTCTATGTCATGGTGAATACAGTCGCTGCTTTATTTATGTCTGTATGTATGACGTTGTTGTGAGTGTGGACTAGGGTTGCCAACTTCCAGAAATGGAAAAACGGGACACATGTATGTGTCCCAGCGTGCGCGCGCGCGAAGATTTTCGGGTTTCTGGCGGATTTAGTTACTTTTTTGTGTTACTTTATTTCGGTTTTAGGGTTAGGTTAGGGTTATGTTATTTAATTATTTTGGGGGAGCCAGCCCCTAGGGTTCGAAAATGTTTTTGGGGGTCAAACCCCCCAAAACCCTCAAAATGCATAGAAAACTATGCATACCTATAACACAATACAAACACAATGGTCTTACACCTGCATTAGGCTACTACATCACATTGTACATCAGCATGTTCAAATCGGATAGGTGGGCACTAGGGACATCTGGGCACCTCGATGTACAATTGGCTATTTTGTCCAAAATGTTAAAAACTAAAATATTTGAAAAATTGTATTAAGTAATGCAAAGTATACATGTGAACATGCACGGTACATCATTATTAGACTTAATGTTATCCTTCAACCAACCATTGTTGCTCGCTTGTGCAGTTCTGTGCCAGCATGCTGTTTCAGGTCGTTTTCTCCACCGTGACCTATTGAAAACTCCCTCCGACACAAGGTGCAGAAGACCCGAGACAGATCTCCACTCACGGGCTTTACCCCAACTGTATTTTTCTTCCCACTGTGTGTTGTAAGACACAAGTCTTTTCTTTTTAGAAGGGCCAGGGCCCAGAACCACATCCTCTCTCTCTTCTCCTCTGTCATTATCACCTCCACCGGCAGCGCTCATTTTCCCGCACAACTGAACAGGTTGACATGCCACACACAAACAATGATGCTGCGCCCGCGAAAATCTCACACACACACACACACACACACACACACACACACACACACACACACACACACACACACACACACACACACACACACACACACACACCACACACACACACACACACACACACCACACACACACACACACACACACACACACACACACACACACACACACACACACACACACACACGTGCGAGCATTGTGCCTGCCCTGTCAACTGAGCGGTCCTAGCGCCCTTCGCATACAGCACACAAACACACAGGCACGCAGCCAGACACACTGCATTGCGCGCAAACAGAAATATATATATTTTTGTTCCCTTTACCGGGAATCCGGGACAAACAATGTCCCGTACGGGACACGCCCCTTTTGGCTCAAA